AACTGGTGCATAGGGAGATTACTGATGCCATAAACAGGAGTGTCAATTGGTAAAGTCAACAACAGGAGTCACTGTGCACTTACTCCTCATGTAGGATCTCGGTCCTTAACGTGCTGTACACTGAGGCTTAATGCTATAATGAGTACCCAAACAGTATATTTCACTTTGTGTTTCTATGGGGGTGCAAACGACTGAAATCTTTACTTAATGTACACTAAACTGATCTTCTGTAAAAAAAAAAAAAAAAAAAAAAAAAAAAAAAAAAAAAAAGAAAGAAATTTTCAATTCCCAACTTGACTCTCACTGGGATTAAACATGACAATAGGTCTGATCTGATTTCATCATCATTTTAAAAAAATCATCTATTATTTTTCACTTTATGTTTCTGTGTGGGAGCAAACTGTTGAAATACTTACTTAAGGTATACTAAGCTGATCTTCTGTATATTAAGATAATCGAAAATGAATCTTGATGTGAATGGAAGGGGAGAGGGAGTGGGAAAGGGGAGGGTTGTTGGTGGGAGGGACGGTATGGGGGGGGAAGCCATTGTAACCCATGAGTCGTACTTTGGAAATTTATATTCATTAAATAAAAGAAAAAAAAATACCCCCAGCTAAGTAATAAAAAAAAAAAAAGCAGTGTTAAGAGGAAAGTTTATATCAATAGGTGCCTACATCAAGAAATTGGAAAGACACCAAATATATGAGCTTTCAATTCACCTCAAGGATCTAGAAAACCTACAGCAAATCAGACCCAAATCTAGTAGGAGAAGAGAAATAATTAAAATCAGAGAAGAAATCAACAGGATTGAATCAAGAAAAACATTACAAAAAATCAGCCAAACGAAGAGCTGGTTTTTTGAAAAAATAAACAAAATTGACACCCCATTGGCCCAACTAACTAAAAAAAGAAGAGAAAAGACCCAAATCAATAAAATCAGAGATGAAAAAGGAAATGTAACAACAGACACCACAGAAATAAAAAGAATCATCAGAAATTACTACAAGGACTTGTATGCCAGCAAACAGGGAAACCTATCAGAAATGGATAGATTCCTGGACACATGCAACCTGCCTAAATTGAACCAGGAAGACATCGAAAACCTAAACAGACCCATAACCTGAGACAGAAATTGAAACAGTAATAAAGGCCCTCCCAACAAAGAAAAGCCCAGGACCAGATGGATTCACTGCTGAATTCTACCAGACGTTTAAAGAAGAACTAACTCCAATTCTTCTCAAACTATTCAGAACAATCGAAGAAGAGGGAGTCCTCCCAAATTCTTTCTATGAAGCCAGCATCACCTTAATTCCTAAGCCGGAAAAAGATGCAGCACTGAAAGAGAATTACAGACCAATATCCCTGATGAACATAGATGCAAAAATCCTCAATAAAATTCTCGCCAATAGAATGCAACAACACATCAGAAAGATCATCCACCCAGACCAAGTGGGATTTATCCCTGGTATGCAGGGATGGTTTAATGTGCGCAAGACAATCAATGTGATACACCACATTAACAGACTGCAGAAGAAAAACCATATGATTATCTCAATAGATGCCGAGAAAGCATTTGATAAAATACAACACCCGTTCATGATGAAAACTCTAAGCAAACTGGGTTTGGAAGGAACATTCCTCAATACAATCAAAGCAATCTATGAAAAACCCACAGCCAACATCCTATTGAATGGGGAAAAGTTGGAAGCATTTCCACTGAGATCTGGTACCAGACAGGGATGCCCACTCTCACCACTGCTATTCAATATAGTTCTGGAGGTTCTAGCCAGAGCTATTAGGCAAGAAAAAGAAATTAAAGGGATACAAATTGGGAAGGAAGAGCTCAAACTATCCCTCTTTGCAGATGATATGATTCTTTATTTAGGGGACCCAAAGAACTCTACTAAGAGACTATTGGAACTCATAGAAGAGTTTGGCAAAGTAGCAGGGTATAAAATCAATGCACAAAAATCAACAGCCTTTGTATACACAGACAATGCCATGGCTGAGGAAGAACTTCTAAGATCAATCCCATTCACAATAGCTACAAAAACAATCAAATACCTTGGAATAAACTTAACCAAAGACGTTAAAGATCTCTACGATGAAAATTACAAAACCTTAAAGAAAGAAATAGAAGAGGATACCAAAAAATGGAAAAATCTTCCATGCTCATGGATTGGAAGAATCAATATCATCAAAATGTCCATTCTCCCAAAAGCAATTTATACTTTCAATGCAATACCAATCAAGATACCAAAGACCTTCTTCTCAGATCTGGAAAAAATGGTGCTGAAATTTATATGGAGGCACAAGAGACCTCGAATAGCTAAAGCAATCTTGTACAACAAAAACAAAGCCGGAGGCATCACAATACCAGATTTCAGGACATACTACAGGGCAGTTGTAATTAAAACAGCATGGTACTGGTACAGAAACAGATGGATAGACCAATGGAACAGAATTGAAACACCAGAAATCAACCCAAACATCTACAGCCAACTTATATTTGATCAAGGATCTAAAACTAATTCCTGGAGCAAGGACAGTCTATTCAATAAATGGTGCTGGGAAAATTGGATTTCCACGTGCAGAATCATGAAGCAAGACCCCTACCTTACACCTTACACAAAAATCCACTCCACATGGATTAAAGACCTAAATCTACGACCTGACACCATCAAGTTACTAGAGAACATTGGAGAAACCCTTCAAGATATTGGCACAGGCAAAGAATTTCTGGAAAAGACCCGGGAGGCACAGGCAGTCAAAGCCAAAATTAACTATTGGGATTGCATCAAATTGAGAAGTTTCTGTACTGCAAAAGAAACAGTGAGGAGAGTGAAAAGACAACCGACAGAATGGGAAAAAATATTTGCAAACTATGCAACAGACAAAGGGTTAATAACCAGAATCTACAAAGAGATCAAGAAACTCCACAACAACAAAACCAACAACCCACTTAAGAGATGGGCCAAGGACCTCAATAGACATTTTTCAAAAGAGGAAATCCAAATGGCCAACAGGCACATGAAAAAATGTTCAAGGTCATTAGCAATCAGGGAAATGCAAATCAAAACCACAATGAGGTTTCACCTCACCCCGGTTAGAATGGCTCACATGCAGAAATCTACCAACAACAGATGCTGGAGAGGATGTGGGGAAAAAGGGACACTAACCCACTGTTGGTGGGAATGCAAACTGGTCAAGCCACTATGGAAGTCAGTCTGGAGATTCCTCAGAAACCTGAAGATAACCCTACCGTCCGACCCAGCCATCCCACTCCTTGGAATTTACCCAAAGGAATTTAAATTGGCAAACAAAAAAGCGGTCTGCACCCTAATGTTTATTGCAGCTCAATTCACAATAGCTAAGACCTGGAACCAACCTAAATGCCCATCAACGATAGACTGGATAAAGAAATTATGGGATATGTACTCTTTAGAATACTATACCGCAGTAAGAAACAACGAAATCCAGTCATTTGCAACAAAATGGAGGAATCTGGAACACATCATGCTGAGTGAAATAAGCCAGTCCCAAAGGGACAAATACCATATGTTCTCCCTGATCGGTGACGACTGACTGAACACCAAGAGGGAAACCTGTTGGAGTGAGGTGGACACTATGGGAAATGGTGGCTTGATCAGCATAGCCCTGACTGTTAATGAACAACTAAATACATTATCCCTCTTAGTAGTTTTTTTTATCTGTTCTACTTAATATGACTGGTTTAGATCTGTAATTGATGCACAGTTATTCTTAAGTGTTGAAAATTAACTGAAATGTGATCCCTGTTGAACATGGTGGTGGGAATGGGAGAGGGAAGAGATGTATAATTTGGGACATGCTCAGGCTGACTTGCCCCAAGTGGTGGAGTTGGAAGCATACCAGGGGATTCCAATTCAATCCCATCGAGGTGGCATGTACCAATGCCATCTCACTGTTCCAGGTGATCAGTTTCAGTTCACAGTTGGTCATGGTGAAGGGACTGGGAGTCAAAGGGAGCACATAGACAAGTCTAGTGCCTGCTAACGCTAACTGATGGAGTAAATACAGGGGAGAGTGATCCAACATGGGAAGTGAGATACTCAGCACACTCATAGAATGGCAGATGTCCTAAATAGCACTCTGGCCTCAGAATCAGCCCTAAAGGCATTCGGAGCTGGCTGAAAAGCTCATGAGAGTATTTCAGGCATGGAAAGCCAGGACACTCTGGCAAAAGATCTCTGTGAGTGAGATCCCAGTGGAAAGAACAGGCCATCAAAGAAGGAGGTACCTTTCTCTGAAGGGAGGAGAGAACCTCCACTTTGACTAGGACCTTGTCTAAACAAGATAAGAGTCGGAGAACTCAAGGTGCTTCCATAGCCTTGGAAACTCATGACTGGTGCATAGGGAGATTACTGATGCCATAAACAGGAGTGTCAATTGTAAAGTCAACAACAGGAGTCACTGTGCACTTACTCCTCATGTAGGATCTCTGTCCTTAATGTGCTGTACACTGAGGCTTAATGCTATAACGAGTACTCAAACAATATATTTCACTTTGTGTTTCTATGGGGGTGCAAACTGTTGAAATCCTTACTTAATGCAACTAAACTGATCCTCTGTAAAAAAAAAACATAAATAGAAAAAAATAGAAATTATCAGTTCGCAACTTGACTCTCACTGGGATTAAACATGACAATAGGTCTGCTCTGATTTCATCATCATTTTTAAAAATCATCTATTATTTTTCACTTTATGTTTCTGTGTGGGAGCAAACTGTTGAAATCCATACTTAATGTATACTAAGCTGATCTTCTGTATATTAAGATAATCGAAAATGAATCTTGATGTGAATGGAAGGGAAGAGGGAGTGGGAAAGGGGAGGGTTGTGGGTGGGAGGGACGGTATGGGGGGAAAGCCATTGTAATCCATAAGTCGTACTTTGGAAATTTATATGCATTAAATAAAAGTTTAAAAAAAAAAAGATTATGGAGCAAAATATTCAACCCAAATAATTAACAAAGCCAAACTTTAATATAAATGGGGTCCTGGAATGAACAGAGTCAGGTTTCATGGTATCCACCAGAGGAAGTTCTTAGCACCTGAGAGGGAGACAGAAATCAAATGAGAGTCTTGGTCAGGGCCTGCTGCCAGCTGAGTCTGGAGGGACTGCTCAGCAGTGACAGAGACTAGGACCAAACTCAGCTCATCTGCAGGGCATGAGTTACTAAGAAAACCTAGAATCTACAAAACAATTCTAAGTCAGACATTCTGCAAACCATTTGACTTAATAGTCCAACAGAAAGAATACAGATTTTTTTCCCAAAACCCTCAAATGAGATATAAATACTTAAGAGGAAATAATTTGTTCAGCAACAAAAGTTTAGTAACAAAAGCTGGGGCCATACCCCATCATGTGCTTCAGGCACAACAAGGCCAGTGTCAGTGTCAGAAAGGGGGGCATATCCTGGGACTATGAGGCTAAGACACACCAGCCACACTACAACTGTGCTGCAAACTCCACCATGGGTTCTGCCTCTGTCCATCCAGATATAGCCCAGGGGACAGCCTGCCACATCACCACCTTTCCCTGGGGAGTAACAGCAAGCAGGCCTGGGTCATAGGAGTCCACTCGGGCACTTTGACAGGTCTGCAGCAAGATTCACATCTAAGGACTCACCCAAAAAGCCTCAGCACAGCAGATGGGCTGCTGGGTTTTTGCATGCCAGGCCTCAGCCCAGACCTGGGCTGGTGCTTCAGGCTCATCAGCCCAGTATCCACAGAGCAGGTAGGATCCGTCATCCTTGAGGATAGGCACAATGGCATCTGGCCCTTCCAGTGGGGGTGGATCTCCACACACCCTGAGGTGTGAATGCAGAGGGGAGGACGGAAGAGGTGGAAAAGATGAGGGCTTAGCACAAAGTCATTGAGTTCCAACCCAGTTCCACCAAACCTTCCTAGCAGTCTGAAAGGGTCTGTCAGCCAACAGGGAAAGGATCATTCTCTATGAGCCATCTGATCTAGATCCTCCCCTGGTGCAGACAAAGTGAGCCTTCACACAGATAGGTAAGACCCAGCAGGGTGCAGAGAAGGATGGGACAGGAAGACAGAGGAGAGAAGGATGGCAGCTGAAGGGCAGAAGGTGCTGAGGTGTCCCTCTCCCAGCCCCCTGGGACAGGAAAGGACAAGCTGACCAGAAGCCTGTTTAGTTTCAGGGAGAAGAATCCCCTTGGTCTGGAATGCTCCCAACCAACGAAACCAATACGAACTTGGCATTGATCCCATTTCACTAAGCACTGCGGAGAGCATTGGTGCATTGGACATCCCTGTCTTTATTGTTGTACTGCAGGGATGTGGATGAAGCACAAGCAGAGGGGCTGAGGGAGCTGCCAAACACTTTTTATGGAGGTGACATAAAAGTGTGGCATGAGGAATGACCTCGGCATGACTGGACCCCAGGAAAACTTATGTAGGTTCCAAAGAGGATATGTAGTTGGTGACCTGCACAGTGTTTGTGACCTGCCTCAGCACATGGGGCTTTCAAGACATGGTCCACAGTCTGTAGGATGAGATTTGAATGGGAAAAATGGCTCATGGGTCCCTTTCTCTCCTCCTGTGTCTGGCATGCCAGATGTCCAGAGTAAAACACCCTCAACCCATCTGTAGATTTACCTCTGATTAGCCTCAGCCTGGTCTGCACGTGCCACCTTCCCTTCCTCCTCTTGTGATGAGGGCTCTTCCACTGCAAAGACGTGCAAATGGGGCAGGCCATGGTAAATGAGATGACGAACAAAAGCGATGGTATATTAAAGCTCAGGTACCACCCACAGTCACATAGGGATATCTATGTTGTCCAGCTGTGGCACTACCTTGCTTAGCAACAGCTCCCAAACAGGAGGACATGCCTGTTTAGACAGGTCCTCTGCCCAATAGTGGAAATCTCCCTCCCTGCTGGGCGTGTGTCCTCTCACTCATTTGGCATCCTGATCTTCCAAAAGTGATCAGCTGCTCTCAATCCCATGGCTATATGTTGTAAGTTCCAGGTGTGGGTTACTTTTTTAAAGATTTTATTTATTTTGAGAGTTAGGGTTACAGACAGTGAGAGGGAGAGACAGAGAGAAAGGTCTTCCTTACATTGGTTCACTCCCCAGATGGCCACAATGGCCAGAGCTGCGCCAATCTGAAGCCAGGAGCCAGGCACTTCTTCCTGTTCTCCTATGTGGGTGCAGGGGCCCAAGGACTTGGGCAATCTTATATTGCTATCCCAGGCCATAGCAGAGAGCTATACTGGAAGTGGAGCAGCCGGGACTAGAACAGGTGGCCATATGGGATGCTGGCGCTGCAGGCAGAGGATTAACCTACTGCACCACAGCGCCAGCACCCAGATGTGTTTTAAGTGACCAATCACACAAAGAACCACCCCACCTGCAGTCTGCTCTGCAGATGCCACCTCTATTTTCTCCTTCTGGCTGGAGGCATCTTCCACTGCAAGGAGGGAAACTGGGGTAGAACATGGTCAATGAGATGGCATGCAAACACATTCTCATAGTAAAGCCCAGGTATCACAAATGCCCCACCAGCTTCTGAGGACACCTATGCTGCTCACTTAGTGAACAGGTGTTAGCAACAGCCTCACTCCCAGGGGACATGCCTACAATGGCAAGTCCTCTGCCTACCAATGGAGAGCTCCCTGCCTGTCTGGAGTGTGATAGCCACAGATCAGGCATCCTGATCTTCCATGAGGGGCCAGCCGCTTTCACCACGTGGCTCCTTGGTCTATGTCTGATGTGTCACAACAGGGGGCTCATCCCCACAGCAGTCATTGGTGGGGGACTCCTGGGCATGTACACCCTGCCACAGTATGAACATATGAAACCCACAGAGCTTCACACACACAGGAGCCTTTTGGTGTCATTCACACAGTGGCCCTTAGTGGATCCTGAGAGGCACGAGGCCAGCACTGGCAACCTCAGCATGGAACCCTCAGGACATGGCTCAGGGTTCTAGATGAAGAGTGACATCAACACAATTGGAATGAGAGAGACAGCATGCCCAGTTCATCAGGATCTGAGAAAGATATCAGGCTGAGAAGGTAACCCGAGTAGAGCTGTGGTAGCAGACATGCAGTGTAATGGCATCTAGGGCAAGGCCAAAGGTGCCCCACTCTTCCATGTGTAGGCTAGAAGAAATCCTTGACACATGCAGGGGCACAGGCTGGGGCCCTGCCATCACACTTGCCTCTTATGCAGCAACATGGTCGGCTTGCTTGTCAGAAAACAGAGCATAACCTGGGACTCTGAGGTCATGAAATACCTGCCTACACTACATCCCTGCTGCAAACTCCACCCAGGGCTCTGCTTAGTCCACCCAGAAGTAGCGCAGAGTTCCTGCCACATCACACCTTTCCCCAGGGGTATAGAGCAAGCAGACCTCTGTCACTAGGGTGCACTCAGCTGGTTTGGCAGGTCTAGAGCAAGATTCCCACCAAAAGACTCACCCACAATGGCCTCCGCACAGCAGATGGGCTGCTGGGCTGTAGGGTGCAGGGCCCCAGCCCAGGCCTGGACTGGGGCTTCAGGCTCATCAGCCCAATATGCACAGAGCATGTAGGATCCATCATCCTTGAGGATGGGCACAATGGCATCTGGCCTTTCCAGTGGTGGTGGATCTCCACCCACCCTGAGGTGTGAAAGCAGAGGGGAGGATGAGAGGATTGGGAAAGATGAGGGCTTAAACCAAAATCATTGAGCTCCAACCCAGTTCCACCAAACCTTCCTAGCAGTCCTTAAGGTCTGTCACACAATAGGGACAGGACCATCCACTAACAGCCATCAAAATGGATCCTCCCTTGATTCAAAGTGAGCCTCACAGGGACAGGGCAGACCCAGCAGGATGCAGAGAAGGTAATAGGAGAGGAGTCTGTCAGCCCAAGGCCAGAGGGCCCTCTTACAGCATCCTGGGACAGAGAAGAACAAGCTGGCCAGAAGCCAGTTGTCTAGTTCCAGGGAAAGCATCCCCTTGGGGTGCAATGTTCCCACCCAGCTAAAGCTCTTCAGTACTCCAGACAGCCTCGGGATGGGTCCCCTTTCCATCAGCACTGTGGTGTCATCATGCCCTGCACACTCCCTATCTCACCATCGCACCACAGGGATGCTGATGAAGGACAAGCAGAGGGACCAAGGGAGAGGCCCTCACTTTTTAGAGAGGCCACACAGAAGTAGTGGCATTAGGAGTGACCTAGACAGGTGACAGGTTTCCAGGGAAATTTATACAGGGGTCCATTGAGGGTAAATGGGCAGTGTTACAGTGCAACTCAGCACATGAAGCTTTCAAGAGGTGCATCCAGTCATTGTGGGAGGAAAACTGAATGATATAAATCATGCAAAGGGCACATTCTCTCACCTCATGTCTGATATCTCCACATGTCCATACTAAAACACCCTGAACACATCTGTCGATTTACCTGGAGGTAGCCTCAGCCCAATCAGCAGTTGCCAACATGACTTTCTCTTTTCGGTAGGTGGCATCTTTCACTGCAAAGAAATGCAAATGAGGCAGGACATGTGAAATGAGATGCCATGCAAATGCGATGGCCTAGTAAAGAACAGGTACCACACCATATTCTAGCATCTTCCTAAGAAAGGTGTGGTCGCATGACCTTGGTCAGCCACTGCCTCACTCCCAGGAGGGCAGGCCTGCAATGGCAAGTCCTCTGCCTGACAATGCAGCCCTCCCTTTCTTGGGAGTGTTTCATCACACACAACAGGCATCATGATCTTCCACAAGTGGTCAGCTGTTTTCAATCATATGGGCCCTTGGCCTATGAATTAGGTATGTTCTAAGAGACCAACCACACAATGAGAGGCTCATCCCATCCTACAGCCATGGTGGGAACTCCCAGGCTCACACACTCTGCTGCAATATGAATATGTGAAACTCTCAGAGCTTCACACTACTAAGACTTTTGGTGCTATGCAGACACTGTGTCCCTTAGTGAACCCTGAGAGGCAATAGGCCAGCACTGGCTACCACAGGATGGAGCCCTCAGGACATGGCCCAGGGTTCCAGATGAGGTATGACATCACCACAGTAGGAATAAGAGAGACAGTATGGCCCTGTTCAAAGGGATGTGATTAAGATCTCAGTTCAGCAAGGTGACCAGAAGTATAGCTGGCCTAGCGGGCAGACATTGTCTTTGCAAATTGCTGGGGCAGAGGTCTGACAGAGAAGCCTGCCACTGGCAAAAGGCATCCCACTCTTCCAAGAGGAGCCTTAGAAAAATACCTTGTCGCATGCATGAGCACAGGCTCATGGTGGATCGATGCCACAACATCTGCTTTGGGCATAGTGACACAGCTGGCTTTGGTGCCAGAAAGTGGAGAATAACCTGGGCTCTGAGGTTAAGAAACACCTGCCTACACTAAACAGTTGCTGCAAACTCCACACAAGGTTCTGCCTCAGTCCACCTCAATGAAGTCTAGTGGATAGCCTAAGATTTCAGACCTTTTCCAGAGTGTTGCAGAAAGCAGGCCAAGGGTTTATGGGTGTACTCCTGTGGTTTGGCTGCCCTGCACCAAGTTTCACATCAAAGAACTCACCCACAATGGCCTCAGCACAGCAGATGGGTTGCTGGGTTGTAGGGTGCCAGGCCCTAGCCCAGGCCTGGACCGGCACTTCAGGATCATCCATCCAAACTGCACAGAGCATGTAGGATCCATCATCCTTGAGAATAGGCACAATGACATCTGGCCCTTCCAGTGGGGGTGGATCTTCACACACCCTGAGGTGTGATGCAGAGCAGAGGCTGGGAGGGGTGGAAAAGATGAGGGCTTAACACAAGGTCATTCAGTTCCAACCCAGTCCCACCAATCCCTCCTAGCAGTCTGAAAGGGTTGTCACCCAAGAGAGACAGGATTATCCTCTAAGATCGATCTGATCTAACTCATCCTCTGGTTCAGACAACATGAGCCTTCACATGGACAGGGCAGACACATTAGAATGCAGAGGGGCTGGGACAGGAAGATAGGAGGAGAGGAAGCTGTCAGTAGAAGGCTTGAAGGAGGAGCACAGGGCTCTGCTGCCCACTCTCACAGCCCCCTGAGGGCAATGAAGCACAAGCTGGCCAGAAGCAAGTTGTCTAGTTTCAGGGAAAAGATTCTCATTAATGTGAAATGCTCCAACCCAGGGAATGTATTTAACAGCCCAGACAACCCCAGGATGGGTCCCATTTCTGTCAGAACTGTGCAGTGCATCCCTGTCTTTATCATCGTATTGCAGGGTTGCTAATGAAGGAAAAGCAGAGGGGCTGAGGGAGTTGCCCTCAGTTTTTAGAGAGGCCACACAGAAGCAGTGGCACGAGGAATGACCTCAACAGGAGACTGGGCCCAGGAATATTTGTGCAGGTGTCCAAAGGAGGATAAGTGATGGTATCTGGCAGGATTTGGGGTCCACCTCAGCACATGGAGCCTTCAAGAGGTGCTCCAGAGCATTTGTAGGAAGAGATTTGAGTGGGGCAATTTCTCTTCTCCCACGTCTTCCATCTCTAGGGGTCCCTAGTAAAGCCCCCTCAACCCATCTCTAGGTTTACCTCTGATTAGCCTCGGCCTGGTCTGCAGGTGCCACCACACCTTCCTCCTCTTGAAATGAGGGCTCTTCCACTGCAAAGATGTGCAAATGGGGCAGGACATGGCAAATGAGATGATAAGCAAATGTGAGAGCATGCTAAAGCACAGGTACCGCCTACTGTCACACCAGATTCCAAGGATATCTATGCTGTCTGGTTGTGGTACTATCTTGGTTAGCGACAGAACCAAACCATAAGGACATGGCTGTTTTGACAAGTCCTCTGCCCAACAATGGAAATCTCCCTCCCTGTCTGAGAGTGTGTCAACTCACTCATCGGGCATTCTGATCTCCCACAAGGGGTCAGCCACATTCAATCCCCTGGCTCTCTTAGGTGTCTCAGTGTTCAACTGCACAATTAGAGGCTCATCTGATCCTGCAGGCAATGTGGGGACTCCCTGGTTACTATCCCCTGCCATAAAATGAACATGGGAAACCCATAGAGCTTCCCACACACAGGCACCTTTTGGTGCCATGCAGACACTGTGGTCCTAGTGGATCCCGAGATGCACGGGGCCAGCATTGACAACCTCAGGATGGAACCCCCAGTACATGGCTAAGTGTTCCAGAGGGGAAGTGCAGTCTCCACCATGGGAACAAGAGAACAAACAGCCCAGTTCAAGAGCATCCAGTTAAGATTTTGGGCTGAGAAGGTAGCTGGGAGTACAGATTTCCTGGGAGAAATGCAGGGTCATGGCACAGGGCTGGGGCAAGAAACACCTGCCTAGACTACATCCATGCTGCAAACTCCACCCAGGGTTCTGCCTTAGTCCATCCAGATGTAGCCCTGAGGAAAGCCTACCACATCACCACCCTTCCCCAGGGGCTTAGAGCAAGCAACTAGGGTCATTGGGATGCTCATAGGCTTATCATATCTGCAACAAGAATCATATCAATGGCCTCACCCAAAGTGTCCTCAGCACAGAAGATGGGCTGCTGGGTTGTAAAGTGCCAGGCTCCAGCCCAGGCCTGGACTGGTGCTTCAGGCTCATCAGCCCAGTATCCACAGAGCAGGTAGGATCCGTCATCCTTGAGGATAGGCACGATGGCATCTGGCCCTTCCAGTGGGGGTGGGTCTCCACACACCCTGAGGTGTGAATGCAGAGGGCAGGACAAGAGAGGAGGAAAAGATGAGGGCTTAACACAAAGTCATTCAGTTGCAGCCCAGCCCCACTAACCCTTCCTAGCTCTCAGAAAGTGTCTTTCCCCAATAGGGACAGGAGCACTCTCTAAGAGCTGTCTGATCTAGATCCTCCCCTTGTTCAAAGAGACCCTTCACAGGGATAAGGCAGACACAGCAGGATGCAGAGAGGATGGGACAGGAAGAAAGAAGGAGAGGTCGCTGTCAATAGAAGGCCAGAAAGCATTCTAGGAGCAGAGGGCTCTGGTAGCTCTCTCCCAGACCCCTGGGGACAGAAAAGGACAAGCTGGCCAGAAGCCAGTTGTCTAGTTTCAGGGAAAAGAATCCCCATGGTGTAGAATGTTCCAACCCAGCTAAGCACTTTACTACCACAGACAGAAATGGGATTGGGTCCCATTTTTCTCAGTGCTGTTTAGTACACCAGTGCTTGGGCATTCTCTGTCTCAATCATCGTACTGCAGGGATGCTGATGAGGGATAAGCAGAAGGGCCAAGGGAGTGGCCCCTTTCTTTTTATGGAGGCCACACAGAAGCAGTGGCATTACAAATGGCCTGGACAGGTGAATGTTCCCCAGGCAAACTTCTGCAGGTTTCCAATGGAGGTTGGAGGTTTGGGCTGACCTGGACAGTGTTTGGGGCCAGCCTCACCACATGGAACTTTGAAGAGGTGCAAGCAGAGATTTCCTGGGCGGAGCTTTGAATGGTAAATATTGCTTATGGGGCACATTCTCTCCTCCCCATGTCTGCCATCTCCAGGAGTCCATAATAAACAACCTCCACCCCATCTGCCAACTTACATGGGTATAGCCTCGGCCTGCTCTGCAGATGCCGAGTCCCCTTCCTCCTTTTTGCAGGAGGGCTCTTCCACTGCAGAGAATGCAAATGGGACAGGATGTGGTCAATGGGATGACATGTACATGAGATGGCATAAAGTAAGGCACCACCCACTGTCACAAGCTTCTGAAGACACCTATGCTGTCAGGTTGTGGAACTGCCTGTGTTAGCCACAGCCTCACTCACAGGAGGACAAGCCTGGAATGGCAAGTCCTCTGTCTAACAATGTAGCCCTCCCTCCCTACTTGGGAAGTTTTTCATAACACAAAACATGCATCCTGACCTTCCAGAAGTGGTCAGCTATTTTCAACCATATGTGTCCTTGGCCTGTGAGTCAGATATGTTCTAAGAGACCATACACACAATGGGAGGACCATCCCATGCAACATCCAAAGTGGGAAATTCCTAGGCACACACACTGTGCTGCAATGTGAACATGTGAATCCAACAGGGGCTCACAGCACTGAAGTCTTTCGGTGCCAGGCAGACACTGTGCCCCTTAGAGCATCCAGATAGACACAAGGCCAGCACTGACTACTTCAGGATGGAACCCTCAATACATGGCTGAGGATTCCTGATTTGGAATGACATCACCACAGTGCGAATGTGAGAGAGTGTGACCCTACTCAGCGGGATCTGGTGGAGATCTCAGGCTGAGAAAGTAGCCAGAATAGCTGTCCTGGCAGGCATGTAGTGTCTTGGTAACCAAATGGGGCAGAGGTTTCACAAGGAAGCCTGCACTGACCAAAGGCATCCCACTCTTCAAGTGGAGGCCTGGAAGAAAACCCTGTCATCTGAATGAGCACAGGCTCCAAAGCCCAGGCCATGCCATCATACCTGCTTTGGGGACAGTGACATGGTCAGATTCATTGCTGAGCATGGGGCATAACATGGGGATCTCAGGTTAAATAACACATGCCTAAATTAGTGCAGCAAACTCTACCCCAGGTTCTGCCTCTGTCAATCTAGATCTGCTCCATGGTTCAGCCTACCCCATCACAATCTTTTCCAGCAGTGTTCAAGAAAGCAAGACAGGGTCACCAAGTGCACTCAGGAGGTTTGGAGGTCAGCAACAAGATTCCCAACAAAGGACTCACCCGCAATGGCTTCAGCACAGCAAATGGGCTTCTGGGTTGTAAGGTACCAGGGCTCAGCACAGGCCTGGACTGGTGCTTCAGGATCATCTGCCCAAAATCCACAGAGCATGTAGGACCCATCATCCTTGAGGATAGGTGTGATGACATCTGGCCCTTCCAGTGGGGGTGGATCTTCACCCACCCTGAGGTGTGAATGCAGAGGGCAGGACAAGATGGGAGGAAAAGAGGAAGGCTTAACACAAAGTCATTCAGTTGCAATCCAATCCCACCAATCCTTCCTCCCTGTCTAAAAGTGTATGTCACCCAACAGAGACAGGATTGTCCCTTAAGAGCCATCTGATCTAGAGCCTCCCCTGGTGCAGTCAAAGTGAACCTTCACATGGACAGTGCAGACCCAACAGAACACGGGGAGGATGGGACAGGAAGATAGAAGGAGAGGAGGCTGTAGGCAATTGTCAGAAGGCATGCTGAAGAGCAGAGGGCCCTGGGGCACCTCTTGTCAACCCCTGGAGACAGAAAAGGACAAGGGATGCTGATGAGGGACAAGCAGTGGGGCTGAGGGAGTGCCCTTCACTTTTTAGGAAAAGCACACAGAAGCAGTGGTATTAGGAATGATCTAGATAGGTGACTGGTTTCCAGGGAAACTTATGCAGGTGTCCAGGGGAAGATAACTGGGCAGTGACCTGGGCAGCAGTACAGTGTAACTCAGCACATGGGGATTTCAAGAGGTGTGCCAGGTCTTCCTGGGAGGAGCAATGAATGTTTTAAAAATCTCACAGGGCACTTTCTCTCACCCCATTTCTGCCATCACCAGATAGCCATACCATACTAAAAACCCTGGAGCCAGCTGTCAACTTACCTGGACATAGCCTCAGCCTGATCTGAGGATGCCCCCTTGACTTTCTCCTTTTTGTTTGAGGAGTCTTCCACTGCAAGGGAGTGCAAATGGGGCAGGGCATGGTAAATGAGATGACATGCAAATGCAACAGGCTAGTAAGGCACAGGTATCACAATTGTCCCACCATATTCTTTTTATTTTTGACAGGCAGAGTAGACAGTGAGAGAGAGAGACAGAGAGAAAGGTCTTCCCTTGCCGTTGGTTCACCCTCCAATGGCCACCATGGCCAGTGCACTGTGGGCAGCGCACCACACTGATCCAAAGCCAGGAGCCAGGTGCTTTTCCTGGTCTCCCATGCGGGTGCAGGGCCCAAGCACTTGGGCCATCCTCCATGCACTCCTGGGCCACAGCAGAGAGCTGGCCAGGAAGGTGGGAAACCGGGACAGAATCTGGTGCCCCAACTGGGACTAGAACTCGGTGTGCCGGCACCGCAGATGGAGGATTAGCCTATTGAGCTGCAGCACTGGCCCCCACCATATTCTGAGTAAATCTGTACTGTCTGGTTGTGGCACAGCCTTGGATAGTGACAGCCTAACTCATAGGAGGACATGCCGATAATGCTCAAATCCTCTAACAACGCTGCTCTACCTCCCTTTTGGGGGAGTGTTTCATAACACACAACAGGAATCTTAACCTTCCCAATTGGTCAGCCATTTTCAACCTTTTGTGTCCTTGGCCTGTGAGTCAGATATGTTCTAAGAGACCAACCACACAATGAGAGGACCATCCCATGCAAGAGCCAATGTGGGAGACTCCCAGGCTCACACACTCTGCTGCAATATGAACATGGGAAACCCAAGGAGCCTCACACCACTGAAGTCTTTTGGTGCCATGAAGACACTGTACCCCTAGTGAATCCTGAGAGGCTCAAAGCCAGCACATGGTCCTGGGCTTCAGATAAGGGGTGATGTCACCACAAAGGAAATAAGAGAGACAGTGCGGTCCTGTTTAGGGGGGTGTGGTTAAGAACTCAGGCTGAGAAGGTAAGCCAAGATTACAGCTGTCCTGGCAGGCATGCAGTATCTTAGCCATAGTTGGGGCAGAGGTCTCACAGGGAAGCCTACAACTGGCCAAGGGCATCCCACTCTACCAAGTAAGGCCTAGGAAAAAAACCCATCCCATGCATGAGCACAGTATATATCACTGGATCCATGCCACCACACCTGCCTTGGGTGCCGACATGACCGGCTTTGGTGCCAGAAAATGGAGCATAACCTGGGGCTCTGAGGTTAAGAGACATCTGCCTATGATACATCTTTGCTGCAAATTCCACCAAAGTTCTACTTCAGACCATCTAGATTGAGCTAAGGGACATCTTACCAAATCAGGACATTTTCTCTGGGGGTTAGAACAAGCAGGCCAGTGTCACTGAGGTACAATCAGGTGTGGCAGGTCTGAAGCAAGATCAAATCAAAGGACTCACCCACAATGGCCTCAGCACAGCAGAGGGGTTGCTGGGTTGTAAAGTGCCAGGCCCTAGCCCAGGCCTGGGCTGGTGCTTCAGGCTCATCAGCCCAGTATCCACAGAGCAGGTAGGATCTGTCATCCTTGAGGACAGGCACGATGGCATCTGGCCCTTCCAGTGGGGGTGGGTCTCCACACACCCTGAGGTGTGAATGCAGAGGGGAGGATGGAAGAGGTAGAAAACATGAAGGGTTAACACAAGGTCATTCAGTTCCAACCCATTTCCACCAAACCATCCTAGCAGTCTGAGAGATCTGTCACCCAATAGGGACAGGACCAACCACCACCAGCCATCTGATCTAGATCTTCCCCTGGTCCAGGCAAAGTGAGCCTTCATTGGATAGGGAAGACCCAGTAGAATGCAGAGAGGATGGGAAAGGAAGCCAGAAGGAGAGGAGGCTAGCAGCCAAAGGCCAGAAGTCACATTTAGGAGCAGAGGGCTCTGGTACCCACTCTCAAAACCCCCTGGGGACAGAGAAGGACAAGCTGGCCAGAAGCCAGTTGTCTAGTTGCAGGAAACAGAATCACCTTGTTGTGGAATGTTACCACCCAGCTAAAGCACTTTAGCACCCCAGACCACTTCAGGATGTGTCCTAATTACATCAGCACTGTAGCTTGCATCCGGGCATTGGAATCCCTGTCTTTATGAATGTAACACAGGGATGCTGATTAGGGACGAGCAGAGGGGCTGAGGGAGAGGCCTCTCACTTTAATGGAGGCCACACAGAAGCAGCGGTATTAGAAATGACTTGGACTGCTGACTGGTTCCCAAGGTAACTATGCAGGTGTTCAGTGGATGTTGGGGGGAGTTGACTGGACAGTCTTTGGGGACCTCAACAGCACATGGAGGTTTGGAGAGGTGCTCTCAGAGTCTCTGTGGGAGAAGTTTTGAATGGTATAAATGGCCCTTGGGGCACATTCTCTCCTTCCTGTGTGCAATCTCCAGATGGCCATGCTGAAACACCCTGAACCCATCTGAACGTTTACATGGGGATAGCCTTGGCCTGGTCTGTAGATGCCAACTCCACTTCCTCCTTTTGGTGGTAGGGGTTTTCCACTGCAGAGAGTAAAAATGGGGCCGGATGTGGTAACTGGGATGATATGCAAATGCGATGGCACAGTAAAGCTCAGGTACTGCCCACCATCACACAACTTAGAGACATCCATGCCATCTAGTTGTGGCATTACCTTGCTAAAAAGAGTGTCACACCCAGGAGCACATGCTTCCAATGGCAAGTCTTTGCCAACCAAAGGAGAACTCCCTCCCAGGAACTCTCAGGTTAAGAAACACAAGCCTACATGACATGTGTGCTGTAGCCCCACCCAGTATTCAGCATTTGTCCATACAGATGTAGCCATGTGATTGCCTACCCATCACCTCCTTTCCTGGGGGGTTACAGCAAGCAGGTCAGGGTTATTGGGATGGTCTCAGGAGGTTCAGCAGGTCTCAGCAAGATTCCCATCAAAGGACTCACCCACAATGGCCTCAGTACAGCAGATGGGCTGCTGGATTGTAGGATGCCAGGCCCCAACACAGGCCCAGATTGGAGCTTCAGCATCATCATCTGCCCAAAATCCACAGAGCATGTAGGACCCATCATCCTTGAGGATAGGCATGATGACATCTGGCCCTTTCAGTGGGGGTGGGTCTTCACACACCCTGAGGTGTGAATGCAGAATGGGGGAAGGAAGGGTTAAAAAGATAAGAGCTTAACACAAAGTCACTCAGTTCCAACCCAGTCCCACCTAACCTTCCTAGCATTCTGAAAGCATTTTTCATCCAATATGGATGGGGCCATCCTCTAAGAGCCTTGTGATCTTGATATTCCTCATGTTCAAAAAGAGCCTTCCCATAGATAGGGCAGACCCAGTAGAATGTAGAGAGGAAAGGACAGGAGATAGAAGGAGAGGAGGCTGGGAGCAGAAGGCCAGAAGTCACACTGAGGTCAGAGGGCTCTGGTGCCCTCCCTTAAAGCTCCCTGGGGACAGAAAAGCACACGCTGACCAAAAGCAGTTGTCTAGTTTCAGGGAAAAGAAGCCCCTTTGTGTGGAATGCTCCCAACCTCCTAAAGCACTTTGGCACCCCAGACCACCTTAGTATTGAGTCCCATTTCCTGTAGCACTGTGGAGTGTATCTGTGCACTGGACATTCTCTATCTTAATTACTATACTGCAGGAATGCTGATGAGGGACAAGCAGAGGGCTGAAGGAGGGGTGCCTGACATTTTATTGAGGACACACAGGAGCAGGGGCATGAGGAATGACCTGGACAGTTAAATGGCTCCTAGGGAAACTTAGAGAGGTATCTAATTGAGGTTAAGGGGGTGGTGAACTGGACAGTGTTTGGGGCCCACCTCAGCACATGGAGCTTGCAAGAGGTGTTCCCAGAGATTTCATGGGAGGAGCTTTGATGGTATAAATGACTCATGGGGCACAGTCTCTCCTCCCCGTGTCTTCAATCTCCACATGTCCATACTAAAACACCCTCAACCCATCTGTAGATTCACCTGAGGTTTGCCTTGGCCAGGTCTGGAGATGCCACCTCTCCTTCCTCCTTTTGGCTTGAGGCATCTTCTACTGCAAAGGAAAGCAAATGGGGCAGGACATGGTAAATGAGATGGCATTTACCAAAAAGAATTCCCTCCCTGTCTGGGGAGTGTGACACCCCACACATATCATCCTGATCTTACATACATAGTCAGTTGCTTTCAACCATGTCAGTCAATGGCCTTTTTGTCTGAATGTTTTAAGAGACCAACCACATGATGGAAGACTTGTCCCATTCAACAGCCACTAGAGTGGGGCTCCCCAGCTCATACACTCTGCTGCCATATGATCATATGAGTGCCATCGAGCTTCACACACACAGGAACCTTTTGGTGCCATGCAGACACTGTGCTTCTTGGTGGATCCTGAGAGGCACGAGGCCAGCACCAGCTACCCCAGGATGGAACCCTCAGAACATGCCCAGGATTCCAGATGAGGACTGCAGTCACCACAAAGGGAACAAGGGAAGGAATGGCCCAGGTCACGGGCATCTGGTTAAGGTTTCAGGCCAAGAACATTGCCAGGACTATAATTGTCCTGGCAGGCATGCAGTGTCATGACACATAGCTGGGACAGATGTCTCACAGGAGATCCTGGCACTGGCCAAAGGCATCCAACTCTTCCATGGGTAGGCCTAGAATAAACCTGTCATGTGTATGACTTCAAGCTGGGGCTATGCCATCACACTTGACTCTGGTCCAGCATCTTGGCTGGTTTCAGTGCCAGAAAGGAGAACATAACCTGGGACTCCAAGGTTAAGAGACACCTGCCTACAATTATTTGTGTTCCCCTTCATCCAGGGTTCTGCCTCTGTCCATTCATATGTAGCCATGGGACAGTCACATCACCACCTTCCCTGGGGGAGTTACAGCAAGCAGGCCAGGGTTATTGGGGTGCACTCAGGAGCTTTGGTAGGGCAACAGCAAGATTCAAATCAAAGGACTTACCCACAATGGCCTCAGCACAGCAGATGGGCTGCTGGGTTGTAAGGTGCCAAGGCTCAGCAGAAACCTGCACTGGTGTTCCAGACTCAACAGCCCAATATCCACAGAGCATGTAGGATCTGTCATCCTTCAGGATAGGCAGGATGACATCTGGCCTTTCCAGTGGGGGTGGATCTCCACACACCCTGAGGTGTGAGTGCAGAGAGGAGAGGAGGGTGGAAAAGATGAGGGCTTAACATAAAGTCATTCAGTTCCAACCCAGTCCCACTAAATCTTGCAAGGAGTTTGAAAGGTTGTTACCCAACAGGGACAGGATTATCCTCTAAGAGCTATCTGATCTGGATCATCCCCAGGTTCAGATAAAGTGAGTTTTCACATGGATAGGGAAGACTCAGTAGAACTTAGGGAAGACTGCACAGGAAGACAGAAGGAAGGCCGGAAGCCATGCAGAGGAGCAGAGGTCTCTAGCACCCATTCTCAGACCCTGGGGACAGAAAAGGACAAGCTGGCCAGAAGCCACTTCTCTAGCTTCAGGGAAAAGAATCAGCTTTATGGAATTCTGCCACCCAGCTAAACTACTTTAGTATCCTCAACCACCTCGGGATTGAGTCTCACTTCTGTCAGCCCTGTGGAGCGTGTCAGTGCATTGGACATTCCCTGTCTTTATCAACATACTGCATCAATGTTGATGAGGGACACTTTTATTTTTATTTATTTATTTTTTTTGACAGGCAGAGTGGACAGTGAGAGAGAGAGACAGAGAGAAAGGTCTTCCTTTGCCGTTGGTTCACCCTCCAATGGCTGCCGTGGCCAGCGCACTGCGCTGATCTGATGGCAGGAGCCAGGTACTTATCCTGGTCTCCCATGGGGTGCATGGCCCAAGTACTTGGGCCATCCTCCACTGTACTCCCTGGCCACAGCAGAGAGCTGGACTGGAAGAGGGGCAACCAGGACAGAATCCGGTACCCCGACCGGGACTAGAACCTGGTGTGCTGGCGTCACAAGGCGGAGGATTAGCCTAGTGAGCCATGGCGCCAGCAAGGGACACTTTTAATGGAGGCCGCATGAAACAGTACATTAGGAATAAACCGGACTGGTGACTGGTTCTGTGAGAAATTTATGCAGCTGTCCAATGGAAGTTGGAGAGAGGTGGCTGACCTGAACAGTGTTTGAGGCCCACTACAGCACAGGGTGCTTGCAAGAGTTGCTCCCAGAGTCTTGTGGGAGGAGCTTTCCATGGTATAAATGGCTCACAGGAAACGTTCCCTCCTTCCAGTGTTGCCTTATCCAGATGGCCATGATAAAACACCCTCAACCCATCTGTAGACTTACCTGGGGATAGGCTCGGTCTGGACTGCAGTTGCCACCTCCCCTTCCTCCTTTTTGTAGGAAAGGTCTTCCACTGCAAAAAGGGCCATTGGGGCCGGATGTGGTAAGTGTGATGACATGTAAATGAGATGGCATCATAAAGCTCAGGGGCTGCCCACTGTCACGGAGCTTCCAAGGACGCCCATGCTGTCTGGTTGTTTCATTGCCTATGCTAATAAGAGCCTCACACCCATGTGGACATGGCCTGCAGTGGCAAGTCTACTGCCAACCCAAGGAGAACTCTCTCCCCATCTGGGGAGTGTGGTATCCCACACTTTAGGCATCCTGGTCTTCCACAAGGGGGAAGCAGCCATCAGCCATCTGGGTCCTCGGTCTATGTGCTCTAAGAGACGGACTGCACAACTTGGGGCTAGTCCCAGGCTCATATGAGCACCCTGCCACAACATAAACATGTGAAGCCCATAGATGTTCACACACACAGGAATGTTTTGATTCCATGTAGCACTGTGGCACTTAGTGGATCCTGACAGGTCAGCAGAGGCTACCCCAGGGTGGAACCCTCTGCACATGGCCAAGGGTGCCAGATGAGGAGTGATGACAATAGAACAGGAATGAGAGGGACAGCATGGCCTAGTTCAGGGGCATCAGGTTAAGGATCTCAGGCCGAGAAAGTAGCCATGATTACAGTTCCCATCAGGCATGCAGTGTTATGTCACATGGTTGGGGCAGGGGTCTCACAGGGAAGCCTGCCACTGCCCAAAGGCATCCTACTCATCCAATTCACAAGCATGAGTGAGCACAGGCTGCATAGCTGGAGCCATGCCATCACTCTGGCCTCTGCTACATAGACATGGATGGGTCCAGTGCAGGAATACAGAGCATAATCTGGGCTCTGAGGTTAAGAAACAGTTGATGACACTACATCTGTGCTTTGAACTCCATCCAGGGTTCTCCCATAGTCCACTCAGATGTAGTCAGGGGACAGCCTCTCACATCACCACCTGTCCTTGGCAGGTTAGATCAAGCAGTGCATTGGGGTACACTCAGGAGATTTGGCAAGTCTGCAGCAAGAGTCAAATCAGAGGACTCACCCACAATGGCCTCAGCACAGCAGACGGGCTGCTGGATTGTACATTTCACAGTCTCAGACCAGGCCTGGGCTGGTGCTTCAGGCTCATCAGCCCAAAATCCACAGAGCAGGTAGGATCCATCTTCCTTGAGGATGGGCACGATGGTATCTGGCCCTTCCAGTGGGGGTGGATCTCCACACACCCTGAGGTGTGAATGCAGAGGGCAGGACAAGAGGGGAGGAAAAGATGAGGGCTCAGCATAAGGTCATTCAGTTCCAACCCAGTTCCACCAAACCTTCCTAGCAGTCTGAAAGGGTCTGTTAATCAAAGGGACAGGACCATCCTCTATGAGCCATCCAATCTAGATCTTCCCCTTGTTCAGACAAAGTGAGTTTTCACAAAGATAGGGCAGACCAAGCAGGACATAGAGAGGGTTAGACAGAAACACAGGAGCAGAGGATGCTGTCAGCTAAAGGCCAGAAGGCACATCAGGAGCAGAGGGCTCTGGTGCCCCTCTTCCAGCACCCTTGGCACAGGAAAGAACAAGCTTGCCAGAAGCCAGTTGTCTAGTTTCAGGGAATAGAATCCCCTTGGCGCTCAATGTCCCAATGAAACTAAAGCACTTTAATACCCCAGACCAGCTTGGGACTGTGTGCCCATTTCTGTGAGCACTGTGGAGTGTGTCAGGGCATTGGACATTCCCTGTCTTTGTCACTGTACTGCAGGGATGTGGATGAGGGACAAGTAGAGGGGCTGAGGGAGTGGCTCCTCACTTTATGAATGCCACACAGAAGCAGTTCATTCCCAGGGGAACTTATGCAGTTGTCCAGCGAGGTTAAGGACACAGTGTTTGGGGCCTGATTCAGCACATGGATTTTCCAAGATGTGCTCCCAGAGTCTTTATGGGAGGACCTTTGAGTGGTATAAATGGCTCTCAGGGCACTTCTCTCCTCTCCGTGTCTGCCACCTCCACATGTCCATACAAAAATACCCTCAACCCATCTGTAGATTTACCTGGGGATAAGCTCAGCTCTTTCTGCAGATACCACTTCATCCTTTTGGGAGGAGGTATCATACCCTGCAATGGAGAAAAATGAGCAGGAAATGGTAAATGAGATGACATGCAAATGCTATAGCAAAGTAAAGTACAAGTACTGTGCAATGTCCCATTAGCATCTGAGGACTTCTATGCTGTCTGCCTGTGGCACTGCCTCTGTTAGCAACTGTCTCATTCTCAGGAGGTCACGCCTACAGTGGCAAGTCCTCTGTCAATAAATGGAGACCTCCTTCCCTGTCTGGATAGCATGTTATCCCACATAATAGGCATCCTGATGTTCCACAAGTGGTCAGCCACTTTCCTCACTAAGGGTCCCTGGCTATGCATCAGGTGTGCTCTAAGAGATTAAATACAACATAGGAGGCTCATACCAACTGCCTCCCCCCTGTACATCAACTAATGGGAGCTATGGGCTCTTAGGGTCAAATACCTTAGGGTATTTGGGATGGACAAGTGTAACCCATGAGTCTTCCATTCATGGGAGTCCTTGCAGTCATGCAGGGTAGGCTGATAGGCATGAAAATTACACTGGATGCTTCAAGATGGAACTTCAAGACATGGCCAAGGGTTCTACATCAGTGAGGTGTAAAGTCAACATGGAAGACAGAGTATGGACTGGTTCAGGGAGACCTGGGTAAGATCACATGCTGAAAGCTGGTCATGATGGCAGCTACCCTGGCAGCCATGCAGTGTCATGGCATGTGGCTAGAGCAGGGATCTCACAAGAAAGACTGCCACTGCACACAAAAACAATTCCATTATCCCAAGTGGAGGCCTGGCAGAAACCATGCCACATGCATTTTAAAGGCTCCATGGCCATTGCAGGGGCCTCAGGCAAGGAGACCCAACAGGGACTTTGAGGCCAAAGGTGTTTGTGACCCAGGGATACGAGGCTAACACAAAGGTGTAGACCCATGCTATCTTTATGTTGCAAACTCCATCCTCACGTCTGCCTCCATCCATCCACATGTGCCCTTAGGATTTCCCACCACATCACACCTTTCACCAGAGGGCCAAGAATGTTATGGTGAATGCAGGAACTCCAGAAGGGCTGCAGCAAGATTCCCAGTGGGACACTCACCCTCAATGGCCTCTATCCAGTGGATGGACTGCTGGGCTAAGGGCTGCTGGACCCTGGCCCAGGCCTGGGACAGTATTTCCAGCTTGTCCCCCCAGGAGGCATGCCACATGTAAGGTGCATCTGCAAGGTGTGTGCATGCTGTGATGCGATGCCCTTCAGCTAGAGATCGGTTTTCACACAATCTGAAGTGCAAATGTAGAGGGGAGATGGAAAGGATGAGGGTTTAACACACAGGCATTCCTATCCACCCCAGTCCCACCTGGCTTTCCTAGCAGGAAGAAAGGGTCTGTCACTCATTGAAAACATGCCATCATCTAAGAGCCATTGGACTGTGAACTTCCCATTCTGAGACAAAGTGAGCCTTCACAGGGAATGGACAGACCCAACAGGATGCAGATTCAATGCAGGACTCCTGGACCCATTTCCTTCAGCACTGGGGCATGACCCAAGACATTGGCCACTTGCGTCCTTATCAAAGTCCCATGGGAACACTGAGGAAGGAGAAGCAGAGAGGCCTAGGGAAGGGCTCCCCAATTTTTATGGAGGCCACACAAGCTGTGAAAGCAGCAATGGCCTGGAAACATGACTGGATCCCAGGCCACCACATGCAGATGTCCAATGGAGGTGGGAGGTGGGGATCCACCTCAGCACATGGAGAAAAGTGGTGATACCAGAGTCCTCAGAATGAGCTCTGAGGGGGTAATTACTCCGTGGGGCCCATTCTCTCCTCCCCATGCCTTCTACCTCCAAATGTCCATACCAAAGAACCCTCCATCCATCTGTAGACTTACACAGGTTTGGCTTCATGTGGCACTCTGTCCTCAAGGGAATTCCCATAGACTACAATAAAATTTAGATAGGGAAGTTGCTGTGAGACAAAGAGCCCAATTATAGGTCAGAACAGCCCCAGAGGCCCAGGGAGATGCCTGCTGACAGCTGTCTTGGTGGCCTTTGCCCATTAACAGGGGACCACTTCTCTCTTCCAGTCTGCCTGCCTCCTGCATATCAGGCATCCCCAAACTCCAAAAGGGATCAGCTGCTGTTTGGCCCTGTGGGATCACTGCAAATGGCCCAGCTGGTTTCTTCCTCAACAGCTGCCCTAAAGAGCCTCCCCACAACTAACAGTCAGGCCTTTGTGATTCTCATATTGCAGTGTGCCATAGGTTGGATGGGGAAAGCCCTGGAACCTATTCCCATAGGGGTTTTTAGGGTCATGAACACACCCCAAATGTTAGGGACCTGTGAGAGTCATAATGATCAGACTGGTTCCCTCCACATGGTAATCAGTGGTATGGCCAAGGGCTCTAGATAAGGAAAGAGTGACATCAATTCAATGTGGGAGAGTGACATGCTGTCTCAGTTTAGAGGTTTTGGGTCTTTCATGAGATCACAAGTGGAGAGGGTAGCTTTGATGATAGTGGCCCCTACAGGCAGTGTGTCATAGCATGTGACTGGGACAAGGATCTCACAAGGAAGACTGTCACTGACCACTTAGGATCCACTAGTACAAGTGTAGGCTTGGAACACACCATGCCATGTGCACAGGGCTGGTGCACACCACGCTGGGATCCACAGACTGCTGCCATGTTGTCACCCCTGCTAAAGGAGCTGCAGCACAGCAGTGTGCTAAGGAAAACCACCCTTTGGGGAAGCAGAGCTACTGGGTGAACACACAGGTGTAGACCCACATGACATCTTTGCTTCAAGCTCCCTCTGGGGGTTCTTAGGCTTTCCTTTCTAGTCCAACTAGAGCAGCCCATCCATTGCCCAACCACGCCAGGGTCTTTGTGAGAGCAGGGCAAGTATGCTGGGGTTTACTCCTTACCCTAAGTGGCACTGGAAGCACCCCCCCAGTTGGTGTACTCACCTCCAAACCTTGTGCACCATGAGTACTCTTCCAGCACTATCATCCAGCCACCACCAGGATAATGCTGCTGCATAACCAGCGTGGCTTTCATGACGATGCACCAACAATATTCACCCATGACCAGCCCTGGTACCAACTCAGGCTCTACTTGAGGTGGAAAGCACCCACTGATCCTGCTGGATTAGGAAGGGTGGAGAAGTTATCATGGTAGTTAAGGTACTAGAGGGCCCTATCAGGCCTGCATCACAGGCAGGTTGATTCTGCCACCAATGAAAATGGGCCTTTCAGCTAACAGTTGTCTGAGCAGGATCCTCCCCTTGCTGAGCAAAGTGAGGAACTGCAGGACGTGGAGGCACAGCATGAGCTACAGGTGGAGGCACCAGAAAAAGGATGGAGAGATGGTGTTGGAAGATGGCCAGGATTCCGGCTGAAGAACAAAGAGCTGTGATCTCAGTAATGGAATCCTCATGACACCCAGATACAAGCAGAACAAATAGTGTTTGTCACATTCGACAAAATCAGTTGAATATTACTAATCTCAGGTGTGGTAATGTACCTGCTACAGCACAGTGGGCTTCTAGTTCTGTGGCCACCCTGATGGCTTTCTCAACATTTTGGTATGGTATTTTCCCCTGTACTTCTTTCTATCAGCCATCTCCATAAACACAGAGATGAGAAGAAAAAAAAAGAAGATAAGGAACCCTGTCTTTTAATCTATGCACAACAGAAGTAATAACTGCATAAGACCCTGTAAAGTCCAGTTGATCTGAAGCAAGCTAATGGAGACCACATGGGTGTTTGAGGAAGAAATGGCAATCTCTATGGGTACCAAAATGATTACAATAATACTCTTCATAGAGAAAGTGTGATCGCCTAGGGTGTGTGAAATCCTTCCATTCAGCATATTCAGTTTCTCCCTAAAATGTGAGTCCCCAGATGTCAATATCAATGAAATATCCATGATTCCTTAGTCTTACCTGGGGCAGATTAAGTCCCAGCAACCACCCTTCATTTGCATCATTTCTTTTGCTGCAAATAAATTCCAACAGGGATGGTCAAATTAGGGAGGTCCTGGTACATGTGCAATCCAGTTCCTGACAATGACACAGTAATACCCATAAACTCTATTTGACAATGGCATACTGTGAGAGAAATATTTCCTGTGCTAACCCTTTGAGCAAAACCTTCTTGGCATGAAAATCAATATCCAAACCTCTTTGTCTTGAAAACAATGAACCTCATCTTTTCCCCACTAATTCTGGGAAACTACCCTATCTGCATCCTAAAAGAATTAAAAGTTATTCACTTTTCTCCTGTTAGAATGCCAGAATGTAGATGATTTAGAGGAATCTATGCACTGGGGTGAGACTGAGGATGAGATGTATTCAATTTCTTCTCAAGATTAGTCTTCTATGCTTCACAGAAACAGTTGTCATTCATGACCACTACGAGCTACAGTGGTCATTGTTGCCTCTGGAAATCTTGGAAGTATGGAGTGGCTTCAATTTTATGTCCTAGGTTTAGATGGATAATGAGCTGGAAGAAGAGAACTTAAAAGATACAGAGGATGGGCTATGTTTGGAGAAATGTGGGTTTTGTCTGCAACAGAGATGTAGACAAGATGCCTCTGGCAGTGTGCAAGCATAGATCATCAAGAGACAGATTCTACTTCCTCAAGTATATTTAACGATGCCACATGGCAAAGGCTGTGTCCTATTTAAAATACATGTGTAATTGTTCCTAATGGCAATGCCGCAACTGCCAGGCAAATGTTTAATGGGCCCACTCCGTAGAAGAGGAAACAGAAATACAGAAAAGATAAATCAATGATCTTTCTACAGTCAGTGAAAACAGTGCTGAGGACACAGATGGGCCCTTTCACTCTCAGCACAGGGCTCAATCTCCCTCTTACAAGCCACCACCTGTCCCAGCCTCCTTCCTGTCCTTTCAAACTGGATGGATACTGCATCTTGATCAAAGGCCACCTGCACTGGGGAAAATGGAGACTTCTGAAATGCTAGGAACTTCAAGCCTGTGCATTTCTCACTCTAGTTCTCATCCAGAATTCCTGATCATGTCATGGCCACAGATATTTCAATGAAAACAAGGTAGCAGGAAAATGTCTCCTGCAGGGAAGTGGAGTCTCCTGTAAATTTGAGACTTTCTGAAATCAGAGCCTGAGGCTCCCTTACCCAGGCTACATTTGTAGACAAGATGCTTTTCCAGCCTGACGTGAACAACCAGTGGCTCCAGCAAGCCCCGTGTGTAGTGGCTGTCAGGGTCATGCTGGGTGAGGAGGGCTCTGGGATGTAGGCTGAGATGACAAATCTGTGTCTGTTTTCTTGACTTCTTACGTAGCCGGTGCCACTTGCGGGTGTGTGCCTTATTTACATGGCATTTCCTAAGGTAGGACAGGAGAGAAAATGTAAGGATAGAAATATGTGCATGATACCATCTCTGTATGTCAACAGATTTCATGGAGAATTCTCTCACAGAGCCCTGCAAACAGCAGCACTGACAGGTTCAGGTAAATGCTTGTGGTGAAGAAGACAAAACGAGAGCTTCCTCTGTGTTAGAGGGTGACCCTGTGTTCAGTCCACATTGCCAGGACTCTTCCTTCATCCCCCCCACACAGCAGCTCCTTTAGCTGCTAACTTAAACCACAGGCATTTCCAAGTAAAACACATAGCCCACTGCAGTGACTGAACACCAAGGCGCACTCAGATGCATGTCCCTTGTTACTGGTGTTCTTCAGAAAGAAATGAAAGGCTGGCAGGGTCAATCTTAGACAATATCCTCAATCAGGAGGTGATGGTGATCTAGAGAGAATGACACAGTGATGACAACACATCATGTGCATACCACGCCATGCGTTGCTCACTATCCTCTGGTTAGTTATGAGAATTTGAACTCAAGAAATTCCTTGTTTTTTGAAAGAGGAAAGGAGGCTTTGATAAGCACCACAGCCCATCAAGTAGTATTTTCATTGTTGTGCACATGTTTTATAAATATTTATGAGATAGGTCCCCAACATGTAAATTCCTGCCCTTCTCCTGATGCAAGTCTGTTTCCCCAGCTGAGCTGGCCCACTTCACTGATACCACATATATCTTCCTCCTGCTTGTAATGCCCAAGCCCCACTTACTTGAACTCGGCAGGTGCCAGCTTCTCAAGCTGTGGAGTTCCAAGTGCTGGCTTCTCCCTTAGCCTGGATTGAATCACCTCTCGGCCCTCACCATAATCTGAAACAGACACACGTGCCTCAGTGGACAGCTGGACACGCAGCCGAGGTCACTGTCTCTAGGGAGGAGCCACTCTAGTACCATGCTCCAGGTAAGCATTTCTTCATCTTTGTCTCTCCACCTCCCAACAACAGGATATCTGATAATCCCCCATTTAGAATGAACAGTGTTTCAAGGTGAATGGTGACCTGACAAGGCAGTTCAACTAGTATTTGACAGAATCAGAATTCCCTTCCACTAAGCTGTGACTGAATCATGGCAGTGTAGTTAGCACACCTTGCAAATTTTTAAGTCAAGCACTAACTTGTAGCATGAAGCAGTGACCTCCAGTATGGTTGGTAAAGTACACTAGCACTGGGGATAGTGGTTCTTCTGTGCTGAGAAGTTCAACTTTCATGTTTGGGGAGTTTCCAAAGACAAAATCACAGCTAAGTAGAATTGTGTAAAAACAGTGCTAAACACCCAAAGGCCCTGAAAGAAATATACACACCTACTAATACAGCTCCTGTTAAATTAGAAAAAAAAAATGAAAAGGAATGAATAAATCTACTCCAGGCCAGGAATTGCCTTACATATTGTACAAAAAATATATCCCATATTTCATGGCAACAATTTACAGAGGTAGGAATTATGACAGCACTTGTGGGAACCGAGGAGGGGTCTAAGGCATGCAGAGATTGGCAAGTTGGAGAAAAGCCCAGGGAGGGTCTCAGATTCCCTGCTCTACATTCTGCTCTGTGCTACCACAGAGACTCAGGAGCCTTCTTCCTCTTCAAGAAGAGCTTTTGTTCCATGAGTGGGTTTCCCCCTGACCAGGGCAGTCCTTGGTCTAGACAATGTCATTTACAAGTACCACAATGTCAGCACAGACTCCATTAGCACCTATAACAGAGATCTTGTGGACTCTTCACATTTCTCTGTGTGACCAGCACAAGGATTTGCCAACTGGAACTCAAAAAAGAAGCTTGAATTGAGTGGAAGTTCATTAGTCACACACATGAAACCCACACCAGCTGGTACAGGATACAGAGGGTGCTAATTAACTGACATCTCACCCTACACTTAAATGAAACACAAAAAAGTTGTTTGGTTATTCCAAATTGACATGTAAATAGCTTATACGGTTCTCAGAATACTGTAACAATGGATTTTCTTAGGATAAAGAGAAGAACCAAACCTAGAAAGCCTTTATTTTCTCAGAGGGACAAAATTATCATTTACCACTTTAGTGAGAGGACCTATGGAACTCACTGTTTTCCTCTTGGTGGAGGATGAAGCTGAAATGACGAACTATCTCTTTCAGATCTTGTATTTCCTGCTGGTTCTCTGCTAGTCGGCAATGCAATGCCTGGTTACACGCAATCATATTATTTTTATTGGCTGGATCGGATGAAGGGCTCAGTGGTACTGCCATTCTGATGGTTTTGGAAGACCAGAGGGCTCCAGAGACTAGGTGGAAGATACCCAAGAACAGAATGAGTTACAACAAATGACATTCAATAGCTCTAATGAGGACTGGGGATGACAACAGCCATATTTCTGAACTTACTATTGGGAAACACCCCACAGAACTTCAAAGTCTTCAATCAAAATCCTGTCACTATTAAATGATCAACACTCAGCTTTTAAGTGACTTCTTATTACTCAGTCACTATCACAAGTGAGAGAACGAACTCCCTGCTTGCCAGCTTGCCAAGTAACTGTTGGAAGTAGCAATAGCAGAATGAGAAGATGGCCGGTACTGGAATGTTAGGAGTTGTTGACTTCCTGTCACCAAGGATACCTGGTCCCTTCTTAAAGGCACCACCAACTCATTCCTCATTCTCAGGAGCAGCGCGCCCAGTGCTGATTTTAAACACCTGCATTTTCCACTAGGAAAATCTAAGCACATTTCCCACTCTCCCTCCCTCCCTGTGGTGGAAAACACTAAGGAAGAATTCATTCCCAAACAAGTGTTATTTTCTCAAAGTGCTCTCAGGAAGTCACTCACCCTGCCTTTCTGTTAAAATGGGTCTCCAGGCTTTTACTCCAGGGAGACATGTCACATGATAAACTACTAAGATGCTCTTCTCTGGGTTTCTGCAAGCCTTTCTATAGCCATTAAATAGTGTGGGGTCAGAAAGCAGAGTAAAGCATGTACAGAATGAAAAAATAATAATTTGTGTCCCGTCCTGTCTCAAAATATTTTTGGCTGTACTCAGTGTTGTAATGGCTTCTTTTCCTTCACACAGGCAGCATGTTGCCATTTCACACTACTAAAATCAGTTAGACTTCCCTACATCCTAAGTCCTTCCTCAGACTTTAGGGGCATTGTTTTGTTTTTGGTGTCACTAAACACAGTATTTCCTACTTGTTACTTGCATGTTTTGTTCTAAACCCAAAAGAGATCATTTTATTTTTTTTTATCTTTTATTTAATGAATATAAATTTCCAAAGTACGTCTCATGGGTTACAATGGCTTTCCCCCCCATACCGTCCCTCCCACCCACCACCCTCCCCTTTCCCACTCCCTCTCCCCTTCCATTCACATCAAGATTCATTTTCGATTATCTTAGTATACAGAAGATCAGCTTAGTATACCTTAAGTAAGGATTTCAACAGTTTGTTCCCACACAGAAACATAAAGTGAAAAATAATAGATGATTTTTTTTAAATGATGATGAAATCAGATCAGACCTATTGTCATGTTTAATCCCAGTGAGAGTCAAGTTGGGAATTGATAGTTTCTTTTTTTTTTTTTTTAACAGAAGATCAGTTTAGTGTACATTAAGTAAAGATTTCAATCGTTTGCACCCCCATAGAAACACAAAGTGAAATATACTGTTTGAGTACTCGTTATAGCATTAAGCCTCAGTGTACAGCACATTAAGGACAGAGATCCTACATGAGGAGTAAGTGCACAGTGACTCCTGTTGTTGACTTTACAAATTGACACTCCTGTCTATGGCATCAGTAATCTCCCTATGCACCAGTCATGAGTTTCCAAGGCTATGGAAGCACCTTGAGTTCTCCGACTCTTATCTTGTTTAGACAAGGTCATAGTCAAAGTGGAGGTTCTCTCCTCCCTTCAGAGAAAGGCACCTCCCTCCAAAAGAGATCATTTTAAAGATACCAAGGCACTCCAATAGTTTATCTATATTCTCCTGCATACACATAGTCACCATCTATGTCTAGAATAGATATGAAGCTGATGCTACTTTTCAGATGTGTTCCTTTGGTTCCAACACATATAGAGTTGAACAGGGCCCAGTGGTAGTTCTTATGCAATGTTAACTGATAGATTTTTTTTCTTATATGGTTGAACCCTATTGAATGATGGCTGAATTCCACTAAAAATCACTGTTAACACTGAGCATGCTTTTGCGGTGCCTGGTGATCCACTGTGTGCATGTGCAGTACAAGCTGATACTGTGGTGGGAACACTCACCTTCTCACTTTCTTGGCTTCCATTCCCAACCAGCTTTCATGAACTTCAGACTTAGGGGACTCTCCTGGAGTCCAGGTTTCTTCAGTTCAGCTGCTGGACTTATCTAACTTGGGGTGGCAAGGGGACTGACATTGGGATGCTGAATATTCCTCTTCAAGTAGAGGAAGAAGTGGAATGGATCGAATACCTTCTAAAGCCTCTCTACCCACCCCACACTGTCTCCCAAAGACACTGTATAATGGTATCATTTTGTGAAATGAATGAAAGGTTTCTTTTAAAATTTATTTTCTTATGTCAGTGGACTTGACATTCAGTGGCAGAAAGTAATATATATCAAGACCTTCCTTGTCAAAATGACAATCATGGGGAGCACAAAGTCACATATCTCAATCTCACACAGGGAAGAGCTTGGGCAGTGCTAGTAAAAGATCATTATAACAGTAACAACTACTTGAGTAGCATATGCCAGGCCTCTAGCTAAGTACTCTACACATGATGGCATTTCATTCTCACTACAATCCTTGAGATAGCAGTGTAAGCAAACACACCTACAGGAGAGGGACAGGCAGTACCTTTTTAGCCAGGTTTAAATGTTTGTGTTTCACTGGTTCATGCAGAGTGATCAGTGAACCAGAGAAGTATTCATTGCAGCATCATTTGCCTGTACAGAGGACTGCACTCCTGGATCATCAGGAGCAAAGTGCACAGGCGTCTGCAGCATTCTTCCGTATGACATGAAACTACTCCAGCGACATAGACTATCCTTTAGGATATCAAGAGAAGTACAAGACTTGAGTCTTCATTTGAATGGCTTTCCTGGAATCCACTCTTTAATACCTAGCATTCCCTCTGAAGACTTTTGGCTTTTAGACCCACAATATATGCATATAGAGAATATTTTACTCTTAGAAAGATGGAATCAGTGGCTTAGGCTTTCTTCCCTGAACCGAGAATTGTTCTGATTTCTATAGAGACTAAATAAGTATACAAGTAATACTTCCTCATACTTATTAGAGCAAAGGAGTTATCAGGTTGGAACCCTCTGATGTCACTGAATTCACACATGGTGGGATGATTATTATTTCAAATGCATTCAACTTGTGAGGAAAGCGTTGCATTTCCACTTACTGCTGATGTACAAAACAAGGTGGAGTGAGTATTGCCCAGGTCCCCCTGATGTGAGAACTGGAGCCAGATCTCAGGTACAGATCCCTCTACCTGCAAATCCCTTAAAACATTTCCAATTAAGTTGACAGAAGTCTTTCCACATAGGTACATCACTTACCTCTACCTCATTTCTGCTAAAAGCCATTCACAAATTCAAAATTTTCATCTGAGGTTTGTCACAATGGATTGTCAGCACCACATTCTGGCCACTCTATTAATTGGAGATGCACTATTGGATAAAGATGCAGGGAACAAGAGCAGAGTGAGGGTGATAATTGGCACTAGGATTAAGATACTGCTTGTAAAGACATACTCTATGTCACTGGCAGGGCAAACATCACAGTTCAGCTTCCTTTTTCCGATTCCTGGGAGGAAGATTGGAAAATACTGCTACCAATGTGGGGGTCCTGAATTAAAGTCTGTTCTTCATTCGTAAGGCTGGCCCAGGCCAAGCTGTTGCAGGCATTAGTATAGTAACACAGGGGATGGGAAATCTCCCTCTCACTGGTTCCCCCTCTTCCTTTCTAATCATTAGAAATATGTAGCTATTATACAAATAAGAAACTGAGGCATGATGACATGAAAAGACACATTATTGCTATTACTATTGAAGTAAAATTCAGCTACCATAAAATCTACCACTGTTAGGCATACATTTGCTATATAGCAAAGAATTTCCAATTATCCCCAATTCTAGAATATTTTGATAAACTCTCCATTTCTATCTTACAATTCCTGGCATCCACTCCCCCACGTTCTCTCTGGAGATCCCATTTGGAATATTTCTGGTGCATAGAATAATACATTTGGCACTTTGCACCTGGCTTCTTTCACTTTGTGTAACATTTTCAAGGTTATCCAGGTTGTAGCATGTATATGTACTTACACAGATTTCTATACATGAGGTCTCCTGTCTGTTTTCACCTGCATCCTGTTGGATGTTCAGAGGGTGTAATGCTACCTGTGAAATCTATTAGCATCTATGGATTACAGTGCTATATTCACTTAATGCTGTGGATACTCTTTTGGTATAGCAGGTCCAGACTGCCACCTGTGATGTTTGCATCCATATGAACATTGTTTCATATACTGGCTACTTTACTTTTAATCCAACACATTTTTAATGGCCCAGGAAAGCAGGAAAGGATGACCCAAGTATGTGGATGCCTGTAACTCATTTGAAAGGCCTGGATGAAGCTCCTGGCTTCTGGCTTTTGCCTCATCCGGCCTTGCCTGTTGAATTCATCTGGGGAATGAGCCAGCAGTTGAAAAAATCTCTCTGTCTCTCCCTCTTGTTTTGTAACTCTGACTTTCAAATAAATTAATAAATGTTTTATGCACACCATTATAGCAGTAACAGTTTAGAATAGACACTTCTTCGGTTGGATCAGAAACTAAAATTTGAGAAATAGAAACTCAGTCATTATTTGTGACCTTTTCTTGAATAAACACACTTTCATTTCTGGTGTATCACTGCTATGCTGATGCATTATCACCCTTACAGAAGTCATTGCTGGCCCAAGTCAAAAAGAGGATCATCTGTAAAGGATGACTGTAGAAAGTGGGCTAAATGGTCAGTGTCTACAGAGGCAAATTGTACTCTCTCATTGTTTTTTTTCTAAGGTTTTTCTCTTAGCCAGCTCATCAGCTTGTCCCAGAACAATAAATCATTTCCTCCAGTATCTCTAGGATATTATGAACTCCACTCTGTCTCTTCCTATTGCACCCACAAACAAATTCATTACCTTGGATTGGTCCTGCAGGCAGAGCTTCTTCTCCAACTTGCTGAAGTGTGTTCAGGTCCTACTACTTCCATCAGACCAGAGCCTCATGGTCATATTCTTATTCTGCAGGAAGTGGTGCATCCACTCCCTATAAACCTAATCTGGGTCTATCAAGGAAGCTCCCTGGCCAAGTACACAAGTCACTGTGGAGTAAGTTCCTCTCCCAATCCTTACTGCTCAGCTCAGGTTGCCCCTTGAGGAGTTGGATGGTAGATCAAACATAAGTCAGAGTCTCTTTAAGTTTCTGACTCAGGTTATATTATTCTCACCCTCTTTCAGTGACATTTGATATAATGTTACCTGTTATTTCTTGGTCTAATTCTTGTCCCAAAACAGGCTTTCTTTGATGTGCTCCCTTGGCTCTTGAATCACAAGATGTACCTCAGCCCAGATGCTGCAGGAGACAAAGACTAAAGACCAAGTTCATCTCTCAGTTGTAGTTCACCAGGAATATGTTACACACATCACTAGCCCCCAGGAACTCAGAGAAGTCTCGTTAGGGACCTCAGAGTGGTAGAACATTGGGAGGGAAAGCTTAATGAACTTCTACTCGAATTCCATGCAGATCTCACATGGGTAGGAAAAAAAGGGGGGAGGGGAGGCATGCATCTCTATTCCCTCTGTCATCACTGCTACAGTGGCGACCTGTGGCCAGCAGGGGGAGAGCCTACACCAGTGTTGGACGCAGGCAGGGAGTAGATGCACAAGCTTTATTGTCAGTTGCACACAACTGGTTATCTGGTAATGAGAGCAGAGGGGGAAAGCTGCATAAGGGAGCCTTTTACAAGCCAGTACAATTGAGTGGCAAGTGGGGCTGAAGCAATTGAGTATCTGGCATGCCTACAAACCACAGATATAACCAGAGAGAAAAGAAGTCTACAAATACCTTGAACAGAGGCAAAAATCAAAAATAAGGATGACACTATGAGACCCCCAAAGGAACATCACAATATGTCAATATTAGAAAATGATGATGAAGAGATTAAGGAAATGCCAGAAACAGAATTCAAAAAATTAATCATTGGATTACATAGAAGCAATCAGAAGCAAATTCATGAACTAAAGAAAAATATATATGAATGAAAATTTTTCATATGAAATTGAGGTTTTAAAGAGAAATCAAAATGAAATACAAGAAATGAAGAATTCAATAGCTCACATAAAAATTTTAGTGAAAAGCCTTAACAACAGAGTAGGTGAGGCAGAAGAAAGAATATCTAAGCTAGAAGACAAATCCCTGAAAATTTTATAGTCAGACCAAAAGCAAGAAGAAGAAATCAGAAAACTAAAAACTACTGTTGAAGAGCTCCAGGATACCATCAAATGATCCATCATACAGGACGTATGAATTCCTGATGGCATGGAAAAAGAAAACAGATTAGAAAGCCTTTTTAGTGAAATAAGAACAGAAAACTTCTGTATTAGGATGGTGTGGCCATCCTAATATTAGACAAAATAAACTTTAACATAAAAACAGTTAAAAAGACAAAGGAGGATACTACATAATGATCAAAGGATCAATTCAACAGGAAAAAGTGACTACTTGTATATGCACCTAATTACAGGGTACCAGCTAACTAAAGAAATGTTAATGGATCTAAAGGGAGACAGAGTCTCCAATACAATAGTAATGGGGGGGGGACTTCAATACCCACTTTTAGCAATGGAGAGATCCACCAGAAAGAAAACCAGCAAGGAAACAGCAGAGTTAATTAACACTCTAGAACAAATGGATTTAATAGGTATCTATAGAACACTCCACTCTAAAGCCACAGAATACACATTCTTTTCACCAGTACATGGAACTTTCTCCGGAATTGGCCACATGCTAAGCCATAAAGAAAGTCTCAACAAATTAAAAAAAATCAAAATCATACCATGTGTCTTCTCTGACCACAATCAAATGAAGTTGGAAATCAACAACTTGGCAAACTCAAGAACATATACAAACACATGAAGATTGAACAACATGCTCCTCAGTGAACAGTGAAACACTCAAAAGGGAAGTAAAAATTTTCTGGAAACAAATGAGGATAACACAACATATCAAAACCTATGGGATATAGGAAAAGCAGGGTTAAGAGGAAAGTTTATAGCCATTGGTGCCTACATCAAAAATTTAGAAAGGTACAAAATAAAATGAGCTATCAACGCATCTCAAGGACCCAGAAAAATAACAGCAAAACAAACCCAAAACTAGTAGGGGAAAAAATGATTAAAATTGGAGAAGAAATAACAAAATTGAAATCAAATAAACAATACAAAAGATCAGCAAAATGAAAAGATCATTCTTTGAAAAAATGAGCAAAATAGACAAGCCATGGGCCCAACTAACTCAAAAAAGGAAGGAGAAGAATCAAATTAATAAAGTTAAAGACAAAAAAGGAAATGTAACAACAGGCACCACAGAAGTAAGAAAAATGATCAGAAATTACTACAAAGAGCTCTATGCCAACAGACCAGGAAACCTACAAGAAAAGGATAGATTCCTATAGATATAAAAACTACCTAAATTGAGCCATGAAAACAAAAAAAAAAAAAACTAGGCAGATCCATAACCAGTATTGAAATTGAATCAGTAGAAACTCAGAAACTAGTAGAACAGGAAAGTGTGATAGTGAAGAGAAATCAAAATGAAATGAAGAGCTCAATAGATCAAATGACAAATACATTAGAAAGCGTTAAAAACAGAATGGGTGAAGCAGAAGAGAGAATATCGGACTTAGAAGATAGAGCACAGGAAAACATACAGTCAAACCAAAGAAAAGAAGAGGAATTTAGAAATCTAAAAAATATTGTTGGGAATCTACAGGATACTATTAAAAAACCAACATTCGAGTTCTAGGAGTTCCTGAAGGCATGGAGAGAGAGAAAGCATTAGAAGGCCTTTTTAGTGAGATACTAGCAGAGAACTTTCCCAGTTTGGAGAAGGACAGACATCCTAGTACAGGAAGCTCATAGAACCCCCAATAAACATGACCAAAAGAGATCCTCACCACGACACGTGGTAATTAAACTCACCACAGTGAAACATAAAGAAAAGATCCTACAATGTGCAAGAGAGAAACGTCAGATTACTCTCAGAGGATCTCCAATCAGCCTCACAGCAGACTTCTCATCAGAAACACTACAGGCTAGGAGGGAATGGCGAGACATAGCACAGGTGCTAAGAGAGAAAAATTGCCAGCCCAGAATATTATATCCTGCCAAGCTCTCATTTGTGAATGAAGGTGAAATAAAGACCTTTCATAGCAAACAGAAATTGAAAGACTTTGTGGCCACTCGTCCGGCCCTGCAAAAGATACTTAAAGATGTGCTACACTCAGAAACACAGAAACACGGCCATCAATATGAAAGAAGGGAAAGGAAGAACACCTACCAGTAAAAGAACATGGGAAGCTCAAAGCATATACTAGAAAATATTTCTGGGAAAATGGCAGGGCAAAGTCACTATGTATCAATAGTCACATTAAATGGTAATGGACTTAAGTCTCCAGTTAAAAGACACCGTTTGGCTGACTGGCTCAAAGAACACAACCCAACTATTTGTTGCCTACAAGAAACACATCTCTCTAACACAGAGGCGTGCAGACTGAAAGTGAAAGGTTGGAAAAAGATATCCCATGCCAACAGAAACCAAAAAAAAGCAGGTGTAGCCATATTAATATCAGACAAAATAAACTTTAATACAAAAACTGTTAAGAGAGACAAAGAGGGACACTATATAATGACTAAGGGTTCAATTCAACAGGAAGATGTAACTATTATAAACGTATATGCACCTAATTACAGGGCACTGGTCTATTTAAAAGATATGTTAAGGGACTTAAAGGGAGATTTAGATTCCAATACAATAGTACTGGGGGACTTCAATACTCCACTCTCAGAAATAGACAGATCATCCGGACAGAAGATCAACAAGGAAACAGCAGATTTAATTGACACTATTGCCCAAATGGATCTAACAGAAATCTTAGAACTTTCAATCCTACATCTACAGACTTCACATTCTTCTCAGCAGTGCATGGAACCTTCTCTAGGATTGACCACATACTAGTCCATAAAGCAAGTCTCAGCAAATTCAAAAGAATTAGAATCATACCATGCAGCTTCTCAGACCACAGTGCAATGAAGTTGGAAATTAGCAACTCAGGAATCCCTAGAGAATATGCAAACACATGGAGATTGAACAATATTCTCCTGAATGAACAATGGGTCATAGAAGAAATTAAAAGAGAAATCAAAAATTTTCTGGAAGTAAATGAGGATAACAGCACAACATACCAAAACTTATGGGATACAGCAAAATCAATGTTAAGAGGAAAGTTTATATCAATAGGTGCCTATATCAAGAAATTGGAAAGGTACCAAATAAATGAGCTTTCAGCACATCTCAAGGATCTAGAAAATCTGCAGTAAACCAGACCCAAATCTAGTAGGAGAAGAGAAATAATTAAAATCAGAGAAGAAATAAACAGGATTAAATCCAAAAAACAACATTACAAAAAAGCCAAATGAGGAGCTGTTTTTTTGAAAAAATAAACAAAATTGACACCCCATTGGCCCAACTAACTAAAAAAAGAAGAGAAAAGACCCAAATCAATAAAATCAGAGATGAAAAAGGAAATGTAACAACAGACACCACAGAAATAAAAAGAATCATCAGAAATTACTACAAGGACTTGTATGCCAGCAAACAGGGAAACCTATCAGAAATGGATAGATTCCTGGACACATGTAACCTACCTAAATTGAACCAGGAAGACATAGAAAACCTAAATAGACCCGTAACTGAGACAGAAATTGAAACAGTAATAAAGGCCCTCCCAACAAAGAAAAGCCCAGGACCAGATGAATTCACTGCTGAATTCTACCAGACATTTAAAGAAGAACTAACTCCAATTCTTCTCAAACTATTCAGAACAATCGAAGAAGAGGGAGTCCTCCCAAATTCCTCCTATGAAGCCAGCATCACCTTAATTCCTAAGCCGGAAAAAGATGCAGTATTGAAAGAGAATTACAGACCAATATCCCTGATGAACATAGATGTAAAAATCCTCAATAAAATTCTCGCCAATAGAATGCAACAAAACATCAGAAAGATCATCCACCCAAACCAATGGAATTTATCCCTGGTATGCAGGGATGGTTTAATGTGTGCAAGACAATCAATGTGATACACCACATTAACAGACTGCAGAACAAAAACCATATGATTATTTCAATAGATGCAGAGAAAGCATTTGACAAAATACAAAACCTTTTCATGATGAAAACTCTAAGCAAATTGGGTATAGAAGGAACATTCCTCAATATAATCAAAGCAATTTATGAAAAACCCAGGGCCAACATCCTATTGAATGGGGAAAAGTTGGAAGCATTTCCACTGAGATCTGGAACCAGACAGGGATGCCCACTCTCACCACTGCTATTCAATATAGTTCTGGAGGTTCTAGCCAGAGCTATTAGGCAAGAAAAAGAAATTAAAGGGATACAAATTGGGAAGGAAGAACTCAAACTATCCCTCTTTGCAGATGACATGATTCTTTAGGGGACCCAAAGAACTCTACTAAGAGACTATTGAAACTCATAGAAGAGTTTTGCAAAGTAGCAAGATATAAAATCAATGCCCAAAAATCAACAGCCTTTGTATACACAGACAATGCCATGGCTGAAGAAGAACGTCTAAGATCAATCCCATTCACAATAGCTACAAAAACAATCAAATACCTTGCAATAAACTTAACCAAGGACGTTCAAGATCTCTACGATGAAAACTACAAAACCTTAAAGAAAGAAATAGAAGAGGATACCAAAAAATGGAAAAATCTTCCATGCTCATGGATTGGAAGAATCAATATCATCAAAATGTCCATTCTCCCAAAAGCAATTTATAGATTCAATGCAATCCCGATCAAGATACCGAAGACATTCTTCTCAGATCTGGAAAAAGTGATGCTGAAATTCATATGCAGATGCAGGAGACCTCAAATAGCTAAAGCAATCTTGTACAACAAAAACAAAGCCGGAGGCATCACAATACCAGATTTCAGGACATACTACAGGGCATACCATTTCCTGTTCAATAAATGGTGCTGGGAAAATTGGATTTCCACGTGCAGAAGCATGAGCACCATTTATTGAATAGACTGTCCTTACTCCAGGAAATGGTTTTGGATCCTTGATCAAATATACATTGGCTGTAGATGTTTTGGTTGATTTCTGGTGTTTCAATTCTGTTCCATTGGTCTATCCATCTGTTTCTGTACTAGTACCATGCTGTTTTGATTACAACCGCCCTGTAATATGTCCTGAAATCTGGTATTGTGATGCCTCCAGCTTTGTTTTTGTTGTACAAGATTGCTTTAGCTATTCAAGGTCTCTTGTGTCTCCATATGAATATAAGAGTGGGAATAAGAGAGGGAAGAGATGTGCAATTCAGGACATGCTCAAGCTGACTTGCCCCAAACGGTAGAGTTAGAAACATAACAGGGGATTCCAATTCAATCCCATCAAGGTGGCATGTACCAATGCCATCTCACTAGTCCCAGTGATAAATTTCAGTTCACAATTGATCATAATGAAAGGACTAAGAGTCAAAGGAATCACATGAACAAGTCTAGTGCCTGCTAATACTAACCAACAGAATAAAGGGGAGAGCGATCCAACATGGGAAGCGAGATACACAGCAGACTCATAGAATGGCAGATGTCCTAAACAGCACTCTGGCCTCAGAATCAGCCCTAAAGGCATTCAGATCTGGCTGAAAAGCCCATGAGAGTATTTCAGGCATGGAAAGCCAAGACACTCTTGCAAAAAAAAAAAAAAAAAAAAAAAAAAAAAAAAAAAAAAAAAAAACCCTAAATGAAGGATCTCTGTGAGTGAGATCCCAGTGGAAAGAACAGGTCTTCAAAGAAGGATGTACCTTTCTCTGAAGGGAGAAGAAAACTTCCATTTTGACTATGACCTTGTCTAAATATGATCAGAGTCAGTGATCTCAAAAGGCTTCCATACCCTTGGCAGCTCATGACAAGAGCCTAGGGTGATTACTGATGCCATAAACAAGAGTGTCAATTTGTTATGTCAACAACAGGAGTCACTGTGCACTTACTCCTCATGTAGGATCTCTGTCCTTAATGTGCTGTACATTGTGATTTAATGCTATAACCAATACTCAAACAGTATTTTTCACTTTGTGTTTCTATGTGGGTGCAAACTGTTGAAATCTTCACTTAATATATGCTAAACTGATCTTCTGTATATAAAAAGAATTGAAAATGAATCTTGAAGTGAATGGAAGGGGAGAGGGAGCGGGAAAGGGGAGGGTTGCAGGTAGGAGGTAAGTTGTGGGGGGGGGAGCCAATGTAATCCATAAGCTGTACTTTGGAAATTTACATTCATTAAATGAAAGTTTAAACAAAAAAGCCATGCTCCAGGCAATCAGCCTTTCCTAACTGCCTTGGAGCAGCAAAACTTCTGCTTGCTGTCTCCTTTGCCCCATATGTGAATGGGATGAATCTGAGGAAGCACAAAGCACAAAGCTTCTGCCCAGCAAGAATTAAAGGACTCCTTGGTTAGCCAGTCCACTTCCTGTTCCTAACAGTGACTCTTTGGGAAATGATATCCCAGTGGCATTGCCACAAAAGAGGAGCTTATATACTTAGAGAGATGTTCGATGCAAATTGTTTATAATACCTGAGAAGGCATCTTTGATATATTTTGTATAGTAAAACATTGAGAACATTCTTTCTGATCTCTTCTTAAAATCCAAAGGGTCTAGTGAGACCCCCCAAACAACAGCAAAAATTCACACCAAGACAAGGACTGGGGATAGGGGAAAATCCCAGTTTTTGCTTTCAATTGTAAAATATAACAAATGCATGTTACTCCTATAGTTTAAAATATCTTTAAAGGATTCAACTGGCAAAAAAATTAAAAACAGACACAATTCCTTAGCTTTGAGGCTTGCAATCATGCCCATTAAATTCCTAGGCAAGGAACCAGTATTGTGGCATACAAGGTAAAGCCACCGCCTGTAATGCCAGCATCCCATATGTGCACTAGTTTGAGTCCTCGATGCTCCACTTCCAATCCAGTTCTGTGCTAATCTGCCTGGGAAAGCAGCAGATTTGGCACAAGCCCTTAGGTTCCTGCACAGATTGGTAACCCAGAAGAAGCTCCTGGCTCTGGTTGCAGCCATCTGAGAAGTGACCAGCAGATGGAAGATTTCTCTCTCTGTGTCTGTCATTCACTCCATAGCACCTCCTTTCAAATAAATAAAATAACCCTTTTAAAACATTAATAGGCAAGACTAAAGTAGGAAAATAACCCATTATGGAATTGGCATTTTTAGTCAAGACCATGGAAAGCTAGAAAATAAAGTTCGATAAGAGTAAAACCCAGTAATTCATAAAGGAAAAGGAATTTCACAAAAACAGAATTAGTAAACCTAAGCAGTGAGTAAAATAATAGAATACAAATAAATCAAGAAGCATGGTAAACTACACGATAATGACTTAATCACTTGAATATCCTTGTCTGGGTGTAACAATATCTAAGTTGGGTGTCATGTCACCTCATTTAAAAAACATCTGAACTTTTCACTTTCTTTGCTATATTGTGACATCAGAAGAAATTCATTCCCATTATACCTTGTGCTTCCTGACCTCTATTTGGGAGTCCCAGTTTAGATCAACTTGTGTCAGTTGCAGCCACATTTTCACCATGATCACTAAAATGCCTGCCTTCCATCCAGCTCTCAAATCCAGAGCTTGATTCGATTCATGTAAAAATGGGAGGAAAAAGGATCTAAAAGTTTGTAACCTGTTTTATGATCCACACAGACTCAAAACTACTATTGTACTCTACACATACAAGTATAGTTCTGCAGAATTGAAGATCTCTCTTATCCATATTTGCCATAACGTTTAGAAATTTATTTTCATTTCCAACAGTCAATGCTGGTGATGACACAGATGAAACCAATGCCCTCATATTCCTATGACCGCATACAAATTGATTCAACCATCTCAGAATTCAAAATGGTAACAGGTTGCCCATAAATTTGCACAATCTTGGATAAGTAAATAAGTCAGCATGGTATTCCAAATTCATGACTGAAAGATCACACCAGAAGATTTTCTGCAGAATTTCTAACAGTGAAATCTTAAGGCTGTCTTAAAGTCTATCAACAGCGAGATTATAGTTAAGTAAAATATAAACTTATTATTTTAGTAACATGATTAGAAACATATATCATGAGCTCTAAAGACTATAGATTTAGGATTCTCAACTGTCAACCAAATGCAATATCCACTCCGTATTTATTTCTTCCTTATCAGAGTGGGAAGGTATGGTATGGGACAGTAAAGACAGGGCCGACCCAGACCTGGCGAGGACTGCAAAGACCACCGAGAAACATCCTGCCCTCCTGGGAGCTGCGGCCTGGCCGCTGCACGGCCCTGCGCCCAACTGCACACAAGACCCCGGAGGGACTCTGCCACATCCCACCCCAGGCCGCCGTCCAGGTTTCCCGGGACCGGCGCATCACCCGCAGCAGCTGGGCCACGAGGCGCCGCGGCAAGCGGAGGACACAGTCTCAAGCACGGGTGAATGGCCGGGCCGCCTCCCCAGCCCCGCGCGGCGATCGCAGCCTCACACTGCAGTGTGGCCCCGCCGCTTGAGAAATGGCCGCCCTAGCGGTTGTTTGACTTCAACGGAGAGCGATCGGCCCCGCCCCCTGCGGTCCCGCCCCCTCTCCCCGCCCTGCATCCCGCCAGGTGCCCTGTGGTGGGGAGGCGGGAGCAAGTCTCTCACATCCTCTCTGCGGGGCTGCCAGGGGGCGGCACCACGTCTCTTCAGTCCCTGCTCTCAGGAAATGATGACCGATGCTGTCGATTCTCCAGCCAATCCTGGCACGCCTTGATCTATCCTACTTCCGGGCAAGATGGCGTCCAGTGGCAGCCACTTTGGAGGCTTATTTGAGCGCCGCCTAGAAAAAAATATGCAATACGGGCCAAACCTCAGGAGGGAGGACGGCTTCACTCCGTCAAGGTAAAACGATTTCAATTTCATTCATTATCCTTAGGGGGCGCTAAGTAAACGTCAGCACCAGGCAGCCAGCCTACAAATAGAAAGTGACGCGGCTGCTGGCAAAGCGCTCACTCTACAGGGCCTAATGGAGCAGGTACCAGAGTGTGACCACGGCTGTGCTGACGTCATTGTGCGGGTGTCCTCTGTGTTGACGGCAATACTTGAGCATGGTACTAAGCACTGGAAGAATATTTGAGTAACCTTCGGAATAACTTCTACCCAGGCAACTTCTGGAAAAAATGTGAACTGAAGTTACTTTGTTATATGCTTTAGTTGGATACCTACTCATCTGAAGTGTGTTTCTTTTTTCATGCAGATAAAGTGGCAACAGTTTTTGTTTTGTGTGTGTTTTGCACACCGGTTGAGCAGGATTTTTTTTTTTTTTACAAAACTCCATTTTAATATAAGGGCAAATGACTTTTAAGCTTCACTGTGAAATACAGATCAAAAACAAAGAAAAAGATTACTTCGTGTTTTTCTTTTTAATATTAATGTACTTTGTTGTGATTTTTTTTATTTCTGTGTATCATAAATCCAACACTAGGAACATAGTAATTCTTCCTACTCTCCCCCCTTCATCCTCCTTCTCCATTTAGTAATTTAATTGTCTTTAAAGAAGAACCTAAGAATGTTTCGTCTTTTGGTAGCTCTTAGACATAACGATAACTTACAGGACATAAAAATATCCTTCATTTAATACACTAAAAGGAAGTGATTCTTGATAATACGTTTTACTATTAAGTCTCATGGTACAACTCTTTGGGGACAGAGGTCCTGCATGAGAAGTTAGTGCACAGTGACTCTTGTTATTTATTTAACAAATAGGACTCTTAGCTATGATATCAGTGATCACCCAAAGCTCTTAACATGAGTTGCCTTGGCCTTGGAAGCCTTTTGGATCCACTAGTTTGACAAGGCAGAGTGAAAGTGCTCTCCTCCTTTCAGAGGAAAGTGCATCCTTCTTTGAGGGCCAATTCTTTCCACTGGCGTCCAGCCACAGGGATTCTTTAAGTAGGACATTTTTGCCAGAGCATCTTGGCTTTCCATGCTGGAAATGCTCCCCCTCAGATTTTCAGCCAGACTAGAAAGCATTGAGGGCTGATTCTAAATGTGGAGTGCTTCTTAAATGATTGTCATTCTATGGGTATGCTGTATGGACTGATTCCCATGTTGGAGCCTTCACTCTTTTTTAATTCTATTATCATTTCCAAACACTTATTTTATGATCTGTTAGCACTGGATCCTATCTATATGGTCACTTGCCTCCTAATCCTATCCATTTGATCTTTATAACACTTAAGCTGCTATTTCTACCAGCCAGCTTAAGGGAATTTAGGGTCTGGTTGCAAGTTGTTAAGCTGTACCCTTAGAAGTAAATCTGTAGGTGTGTATGCAGGACTATACTGCTATGCAGTTATGAACTTCATACATTTAACAATTACAACTTTAGGATCTTGGTAATTCTTACCACTGTGCCTGCCCTCCAACCACCCTTCCTCTTCCCTTTCTTATTTTCCCTTTTATTTTTTACTAAGATCTATTATCAATTAACATTATAGATAGACCAGCACTGTGGCTCACTTGGCTGATCCTCCACCTGTGGCGCTGGCACCCCAAGTTCTAGTCCTGGTTGGGGCACCTGGTACTAGTCCCTGTTGCTCCTCTTCCAGTCCAGCTCTCTGCTGTGGTCCAGGAAGGCAGCAGAGAATGGCCCAAGTGCTTGGGTC